TAACCGAAATAAGAGATTTCGTGTTATACTGCTATATCGGATGAGCCTACAGGGTCACACACACAGGAAAGGACGAATGCGCGAGAAGAGACGAGAAAATCCCGGTGGAGCAGAGGCCAGACCGACCGGTCCAGAAGGTCTAGACCGATCGGTCTAGACGTAGACCGGTCGGTCCAGAGGTAACGTGTGAGAGTCACTCGGTCCGGAAATTGTTCCAGACCGATCGGTCCAGACATCGGGATTTACTAAACTCGCTCTAATTAGGGGTTTAAGGGGAATTAACTTGGAAAAACTCCTCCTAACTCTCTTGGCACGATTTTCAGACCCTAGGGAGAGGTTTGGAGAGTGAGAAAGCTAAGAGAAAGATCCCTGAAACCCTTGCGCAAAGAAGAAAGCGTTCTTCAGTCCTAGCAGACAAGTTCCAACCGTTGGAATCCTTTCCGCCGTGTGGATACATGTAGAGGGCAAGGTATTCTTCCTGCCTACAGTGATCGGACGAACACATCAATTGATACAGGCCCCGGATCGATTGAGGTAAGCGTTCTAACGTTTCTACAAGATCATGCATGATAGGTTTTAGGGTTTCATCAAAATTTTTGTTTTACATCCGCTGCGCAAACCCTAGAACTGATCTCTTAGGAATTAGATTCGCTCTTGAGATCCCAGAAAAACCCAACAAAGAGCTTAGGAAGGTCATATGGTATACAATCGCGGACATCAAAGGAATCAACCCTTCCCTTTGAATGCACAGGATCCATCTGGAGGATGAGTCCAAAACCTCCATTGAGCATCAACGACGCCTCAACCCGATGCTGCAAGAAGTGGTGAAGAAAGAGATAATGAAGCTCCTAGACGCAGGTATCATTTTTTCTATCTCTGATAGCCATTGGGTGAGTCCTGTACATGTCGTTCCGAAGAAGGGAGGAATTACGGTGGTCACCAACGAAAAGAACGAGCTCATTCCGACGAGAACGGTGATCGGTTGGCGCATGTGTATTGACTATCGCAAACTGAACGCCAACACAAGGAAGGACCATTTTCCACTGCCATTCATCGACCAGATGCTAGAACGCCTCGTCTTACACTCGTACTTCTGTTTTCTCGACGGGTACTCAGGTTTTTTTCAGATCCCCATTCATCCTAATGATCATTAGAAAACTACATTTACTTGCCCGTACGGAACTTATGCCTATCGTCGCATGCCGTTTGGATTGTGTAACGCTCCGGCGACATTCCAACGGTGCATGATGTCCATATTTTCCGATGTGATTGAGGAGTCAATGGAGGTGTTTATGGACGATTTCTCCGTTCATGGACCCTCCTTCGACATGTGTTTGATGAATTTTCTCGAGTGTTAGACAGGTGCTCACAGGCGAATCTGGTACTCAACTGAGAGAAGTGCCATTTCATGGTCCGAGAAGGGATTGTTTTGGGCCATAAGATCTCAGAGAAGGGGATTGAGGTTGACAAGGCCAAAGTTGAGGTGATCGAGAAACTGCCACCACCGCATAATGTCAGAGCTATCCGCAGTTTCTTGGGCCATGCGGGGTTTTATAAGAGGTTTATCAAAGACTTCTCAAAAATCTCGAAGCCGCTCACCGACTTGCTTTGTAAGGATGCGCCGTTTATCTACACTGCAGAATGTAATGCCGCGTTCCAAACTCCGAAAAAGTCCTTGGTATCTCCGCCGATTATTCACCCTCCTGATTGGAGTCTTTCTTTTGAGATCATGTGCGACGCCAGCGACTACACTGTTGGAGCAGTTTTGGGTCAGCGGAAGAACAAGCGATTGCATGCCATTTACTATGCTAGCCGCACTCTAGACGATGCTCCGATCAACTACACCACCACTGAGAAGGAGATGCTTGCCATTTTCTTTGCTTTTGAGAAGTTTAGATCCTATCTAGTCGGATCATAAGTGATAGTCTACACGGATCACGCAACTCTCCGGTACCTTTTGTCCAAGAAAGATGCCAAGCCTAGGCTCATCAGATGGACTCTTCTGCTACAAGAGTTCGATCTTGAGATCAGGGATAGGAAAGGGACTCAAAATGGTGTAGCGGATCATTTATCACGGCTTGAAATCCCGAGCTCTTTGCCCATTAATGATTCGTTACGAGATGAGTATGTCATGACCATTTCAATCCACTCTGAGGCTCCGTGGTACGCAGACTTCGTGAATTATCTGGTGGGCCGACTGATTCCTCCGGAGCTGAACTACAATGGAAGGAAGAAATTCCTTCATGATGTTCGAGATTACTATTGGGATGAACCTTTTCTCTTCAAGCGAGGAAAGGATGGGATATTTAGGCGATGTATACCAGAAGAGGAGATTCAGAACGTCATCGTCCATTGCCATTCTTCTGATTACGTCGGGCATTTTGCTACATCGAAAACCGTTGCGAAGATTTTACAGGCTGGATTTTATTGGCCCACGTTATTCAGAGATATACATCAGTTTGTCTCCTCATGCGATGCTTGTCAGAGAACGGGAAACATTTCCCGTAGACATGAAAATGAAAACGCCTAGTCCCCGGCAACGGCGCCAAAAACTTGGTGCCGCACGCACCGAGTCTTATATTTAGTTACCCGATTCGTACCACTTTCCGCAAGTATACGGTAGTTGCAGTATCGGGGTCGAACACGAGGACTAGGATGTATTAGTCTATCTCTAAGCTAGATTAGGTGGTCAAGTAAAAATGTGGTTTGTGATAAGTGTCGGAATACAAGAAAGCAATTAAAATTAACGGTTCGTAAACGATGGTTTGAGGCGTTGTAGGTTCGGGATCCCTCAAGATTCGCATGGACGGTTAGTGATGCTACAATGCCTATGGGTTTATCTTCCAATTGGGGGTTTCAAACACTTCCTCTAGAGTTTGTCTCTCCCAAGCTTAAACTCACTACCTAGAGAATCGATTCACCCATTTCCCAATGATCCAAATGATCTCTAGATGCATTAATGTACCCCATCATGAACCCTAAGTAAGCTAAGCCATCTCCCAATATGAATAACTCACTCATTTGACATTTGGTTCCAAACATCATTCCCATATCCCTATAATCAATGTGTTCTACAATCATATCAATTAGGGTTTCAACCAAATCAATAGCATTAAACACAAAACATCAAACCAATGGAAGAAAACTCCAAAGCATCATAGATAAGCATAGGTGTTCATACAAAAGTGGGGATCTCTCACCCACAACAAAGTCACTACACCATATCTAGGGTTTCAAAACAGAAAGCAAAGTAGAGAAACATAGAAAAGGAGAAGAAATGCTCAAAATGGTCTTCAATGGTGTCTTCTCCTCCAAAATGCTTCTCTTGATCTCCAAAATCCCCCTTTTCTCCTCTTCCAAGTCAAGTCTCTCCCAAAGTGTGTAGCCTGGTTTCTCTATCCTCAAACTCCCCTTTTTCTGAAAGTCCAGAATTAGGTTTTCTCCTCAAAACACGGGCTTTTCCTTTTTGGGCCGATTTTGATTTCAGGCGGTCGCCCATTTTTCGGGCGGGTCTCTCATTTTTCGGGCGGGTCGCTCATTTTTCGGGAGGGTCGCTCATTTTTCAGGCGGGTCCCTCATTTTCCTCTGCACACGCGAAAAAGCAAGCGATCGCTCATAAAATGAGCGACTGCTCTCAAAACGAGCGACCGCTCTCAAAACGAGCGACCGCCCATAAAATGGGCGGTTCGCTCATTTTGTTTGAGCTTCCCGAGCCTTCTCGAATTCTTGTTCTTCCGTGCCCGCTTCGTGAGGATTCATCGTGGAGTCTTCCTGCAAGGAAAAACAAGTAAAGCAACCTACCCATGGCCATCTAACGTCTTATAATGCCTAGAATGAGAGAAGAATTGTGATGCATGACGTTATAAAATCGGTGAAAAACCCGTGTGATCAGACTTCTCTCTCTCGCTCACTCCGCCGGAGCACACAACCGCCAATTCCGCTCGCCACGCCGCCGCCCACTGTCGCCGGCGTCCTCATCTCGCCGGAAGCTCGCCTCTCTCTCCCCCGACTCTCACTCTCTCTCTCCTTCCCTCTCCATTTTCGAATTTCCACCGAAGAGGTAACGTTCGGATCTCCTAGATTTCTAGGTTTTCAAGGTTTTAAGGCTAGATTCATGCATGATAGTCCTAGACTAGTTGAGATCTATGAGTTTTACGGAGAAATTTGGTCCGATTTTGAGCTTGGAAGCTCGAAAATGGCGGAACTTCACGAAACTCAGTCCCGGTCCGGCGGACTTGGTCCGACGGACCGAGACTCGCGAAGAATAAGAAGACGGCGCAAGTGCTGTTGGTCCGACGGACCAGACACGGTCAGCTCCAGACCAGCACTGAAACTCCAATTCTGCAGAAATTTTCCAGTCCGGTGGACCAGCCTTGGTCAGGGCCGGACCACACCCTTCGGACATTGATTTTTCACGCTTATTTCGGTCAGACGGATCAGATTTATTCTGACTCGGGCAGAATGTAGGTGATACATGATTTTTCGCTATTTGTTGACTCGTGTGAACTTAGTCGAATATGCTGCTTCCTTTTTTGCAGATGGCCCCCACGAGTCACAAAGACAGACGCCCGAAGTTTACCCGATCGCCCATACCAGAGGGAGCGATCACGGAGCTTACTGACCTCGAGCCTATTGTTGAGGATGACATTGTCCCTCTATACGGAGTTGGTTTCTCCCCCGAGGAAGAGAGCTTATATCGGACACTGAACCAGATGGGAGCTTCGCCATCTAAGTTCATCAGCCGCGAGATCGAGCAGCTCGGCCTATATGAGAGCGTGCGGTACCTATTCCACTAGTTGGGTTGGGATAGACTGTTCGAGGCATGGGAGGAGACGCACACCACGCTGACCCTCGAGTTCTTTGCCATGTATAGATGTTGGCTACCCAGAAATGGGTCTGTAGAGGGCGGTTACATGACGTTCTAGCTAGCCGGTCGCCGCCACTGCCTCACCATGGCAGATTTTGTTGAGATCTTGGGCGTCCCACGAGAGACAGGTTACATGACGTTCCAGCTAGCCGGTCGCCGCCACTGCCTCACCATGGCAGATTTTGCCGAGATCTTGGGCGTCCCACGAGGGACAAGACAGACTCACCCTTCGATCGACCCTGATGCACTACAGGAGTTCTGGACCACTATTGGGTCAGGTGAGTTTGAGACGGGGAAGAGCAAGTCGACCAGGATTCGACACCCCGCGGTACGTATCTTGCACATGTTTATTGCGGGAGTGCTGTTTACTCGTGGCGAGCAGGGGAATATCAAGACCATTGAGTTGTGTCTGCTTAGACGAGCACTCCGTGACGCGTTCGACGGAGATGATTGGGCATGTCTCGCCTTGACCTAGCCTCGAGGGTGGCTATCCACCTTCACGAGATATCACAGGCGAAGCAGTTCACCAGGGTACCCATCTACCAGGGAGGAATAGTGCCCATAATAGCTAGGAGAGTGGGCATCATCCTGGGTTTCCAGTGGCAGAAACCGATAGGGTACCCAGACTTACGTCTCGCCATGCTCAGCGCGAAGAGGGCGATCGACACTAGCACGACTGGAGGACCTCACTGGCGCTATATTGATATTGAAGAGAGGAAGAGGACAGTTCGTCTACCTATGGACCCCCTTCCTCCCTTCACCATACAGGGTCTACGGTTCCAGATAGACAGAGAGGAGGCACCAGCCGTGCCCGCACCACCACCCCGTCGACGTCACAGAGAGAGAGCTTCATCTCAGTCTCCACAGCCACATGACCATACTGGGGACGCCTCCTCATCTTTTGTACCAGCATCCCAGGAGGACATACGGGATCTCAGAGATTTTATACGTCAGGGATTTGATATCGTTGGTCACCGCATGGACACCATCGATGGCCAGCTAGACTCATACGATCATCGTTTGGGCAGCCTAGAGGGCTCTATAACGGCTATGCGCACGCAGTTTGGACATTACCACTTCTACCAGACAGAAGTGAACCGCCGGTACGATTCCACCTATGCGACGAGGATGCAGAACATCGTACAGCCAGTCCCTCTCCCACCAGACTACCCTTACCCCGGCCATGCTTACAGACCGCAGCAGTCCTACTTTCCAGATGTGTCATACTCACCGAGGGCACCACGCAGCCGTTCACCACCACCACCGGGCGACACCGATCACATGGAGACCGACCACGTCGGAACACAGTAGAGTCACCAGAGATTGCATCAGGACCTTTTTCTTTTCCTTTCCCTTTTTCACTTCTGCATTTTCGGACCTATGACGTGCGTTGTTAGTTTGCTATGTTGTCTTGTACGCTTAATTGTTATCGGATTCACTTGGTCTTTGTGTGTTTTAAGCTCTTATCTAAGGTTGAATCCCGACTCGGAACAAAAGACAACACACAATGTGGAATACATCAAAAGTGGAATGCAAGGAGGCACTTTTCGACCTTGGGCACCAAGGTTACACATTAACCCTCCACTTCGATCAAATTCTTTCATATTCCACATATTCCACCCCTTCGGATTCGAGTACACCGCGGACAGTGTCTCATTCAAGTCTGGGGGGTGAGCATCTAACATCGCTACAAGTCCCTTTTAGAGTGCATTCATACATCCACTTGCACATAAAAAAAATGATTTCTCACTATAGATGCATTCCACACTTGCATTTCTTGCACTTGTACATATAGACACCACCTAGCATTGCATTGCATTTGTTACATATAGGTCTAGAACATGTAGGAGAATATGCATTGCATAAATCGTTTTGAGTTGAGATTGATCGATGATGAGATGATGGTGATAGCTGCTTAGAGATTGCTTAGCGATTTGGACTTAGACCTCTAGGTGTTCGAGTAGATTGTCGATGATAGATGAATAGTGAACCCTCTCTTTGATGCTTGCGATTCTAGGTTGTGGGGTATATTGTTGTCTTTAGGTATGCCAAAGAGTAGGACCGACCAAACCTAGGTTAAATATCTCTCTAAAGCCGTTCCCGAAGCTTCTCCCATAGGATAGATAGTCTCTTGGAAAGAACGTTGTAGGAATAAGCGAAGAAAGTATATACATCCCAACACTTCGTTGTCACTATATCGTTAATGAAAATCATTCGATGACATGAGTGCGTCGACGGTTCGGGTATAAGTTGTGGGACAAGTGTTGTCATGATCATTAGAGAAAAGCAAAAGCGGAGACACTTGTCAACTTCAACGTCCTAGGAACTCGGGATATTACTTCTCTTAGCACTTTCTTGAGAAAAAAAAAATTTGCGAACAAAATAAATGAGGAGACAACATATCTTAGAGGAGGAAAACGGTAAGTAGGTTTAGGAGAGTGCTTGGAAGTTGGAATTACTCTTATGGTAGACTAAGGACGACATAAAAACCCCATACTTATGAAAGTTTAGCTGACAAGAGAGAATAACAAGAGTAGTCCAGATTCGATTCTACTCCCATAAGTTGAGCAGTGGACACGCAACTAGATCTTGAAACTCATTAAAGACCGATTTCTATCTCACCGTCCTTCTCAGGCTTTGTGTTTCATTGATTTTATTTGCTCGAGGACGAGCAAAGATTTAAGTCTGGGGGATTTGATGACTCGGATTTTATATGAATTTTATACGAGTATGCCTTTGGTTTCCTAACGGTTTCCACACATTCTTAGGCATTTTTAGAGCCATTCTAGGGTCTTGGGACCATTTCTTAAGTTTGACAGGACCTCGAAAGCACAACGCAGAAATTCGGCAGGAAACGGAGAAAACAGCTATTGGTCCGCCCCTGACTGCAGTGTACTTCGGCGGACCAATCGGGGACGGTTGATTCAACCGAGAGAGGGGAGGAGACGAGGAAGAAAATGAAGAATTCATCCGTCTGGGGCTGACCACGGCTGGTCGGACCCGAACCAATAGAAGAATCTCCAATCCGCCTGCACGCTCCGACCTAGCTGAGCTGACCAAGAAAAAATAACGTCTGGTTCGGACATGATCAGTTCTGATCAGCCGGACCAAGATCACGAGCTTCAGTCAGCCAGCGGACTCCGAGCCGAACGTCCTGACTAGACCCAAAGAACAACTGGTCCGGAGTTGATCTACCTAGGTCCGCTGGACCAGACCGCCTTAGCCACTCCCCAGTCCGCCAGTCTCTCGCCCAGTCAGCCGCGGGAGCCTTCTGAAGACCTGGTCCGGAGCTGACCAATCTTGGTCAGCCGGACCAGGACCATTTTGCACCGCGTTCTCGTGCTTCATTTACTCCCGGTCCGCCGGACCCAACCTTGGTCTGGCTGACCGCGTGACCTGGAACTAATTAAGTCCGAATTTTTCGGACTTTGGCAGGAGGGCTCGATTTGGGGAAAGTAAGGGGCGGCGATTTTCTCTCCTCCAGAAGACCTAGGGCCAAAATCTTGAGGAGTTTGCTTTGGCTTGAAGATTGAAGATTCTATTGAGCATCTCTCTTTCCCTTTCCCTCTATGTTTCCTCTAGCTATTTTGGTGTTCTTGAACATGAGTAGTGAGTAGTTTCTTGTTGTGGGATGAAGGATTAGCCCTCATGTAAGGATGCTTGTCTTAACCTTTGGACCCCAGATTGTGTCTTGTTTATGCTTTCAAACACTTGCAATGAATGGAATTTTGTTCTTCATGATTATCTCTCATCTCTCTTGAATGAATGTTTAGGGAAACCTAGGATTTGTTGAATTGAGTGATGCAATTGTTTGGGTTTGATTGCTAGAGTTTAATGAATAGTCTTTAATGCTTCCCATTGGATGAAAATCCTATGGATAGAATTTATGATTGAGAATTTCATGGAGACATGGATTCTTGATTCTTGGTGCATTCATTGAAATGGGTTGAGATTGAATGCGAAGGAATTCGGTTCAATTCAATCTAGGATCGTGACAAGGGAATTTAATGCATTCGGGAATTTCACTCTAAGCCATGAAAGTGGATAGAGTGCTCTCTTGGATAGCGGATTTTCGGGTCGAAAGAACCGAATCCGACCTTAGTCTTCGAATCCCTCACTTAGAACAAGCATGATCTAGGTTCCTTACGGCATCCTTGCATGATCGGTGAAACCCGATTCCCATAACCTTTCCCATCGATTATCTTTTCTTGAATTATTATTTGCTTCGGTTTTATTTCTTCCATTAAATTTTCTGCAACCTTGAAAACCACCAAAAACAATTCTCAAATTTTATTTTTACCATTTTTCTAGTTTTAGTCGATTCCTAGCTTAACCGCTTAAGTCATTGTGTTCGACCCCGATACTACGATATCCGTATACTTGCGGATTAGTTGTGTTTCGGGTTACAAATTTAAGACTCGTCACGCAAATGATCATCCATCACCAATCAATGACAACATAGATGCATATACGAGCTATACTCCCATAAAGCAAAATAACCCTATAATAATTTTCTATATGGGACTAAGATCCATATTTCACATAAGAATGAGTTGTTACACTCAGCCTTATGTTATTTAGGTAGACATCTAATATCAATCACATCCAATGTGACTCCTAGATCCTTTATGAGACCATGATACCAAATATCATTGCATACTCATCTCATCTGTACCGTTAAGTCTCAAGTTAAACTTGACAAGTTAACCTAAGCTAAACCATATTCAAGTTGTGGGAACCATGATTTCCCACCTTGCCTCCCTAAGATAATCTAGCACGCTCAACTTTGGCATGATCTGTGATACGGACGATCGATGCCTTGACAAGTGCTCTAGTAATGGAAGGTACAAGTTTCGCATTACATAAGAGGGATTTTAAACCACACTTAGATCAAGCATATACTTTCAAGCTATGAGAACCACCATTTCTCCATCTTGTCTCACCAAGATAGCATGGAACACACAGCTTTGGCATGACCCATGACACGTACGATCGAGGCCTTGACAAGTGCTTTACTCGTAGATCTCCTAGATCTAACCGGTTTAGATGCAACGATTGTACCAATCAAATCAATGATCAACTATTGTTCCTTGATCAGGTGTATTACATAATCCGAATAGACCATCCATTCGGTTACGTAATCCCAATCCCGAAGCTCTCATTCAATCAAGCATATATAATATCTTGATTAAGTTACATGTATTCATTCACTATGGACCATCCATAAGAATGAATCATGTCATTCTGAATTATAAGTGATCGGATTAAGCAATTATTGCTTAAATCAGATCGTGAAACGAAGAACCAAAAATTTTGGTCTTCCCTCGAGATGTGGACTGGTCGGTTGATAACACGATTTTATCCTCTATTTCATAGCCCACTGTCCATCGGTTTCGCCTCAGTTTTATGCGTTATTAGACCTTTAGGATCAATTCAGCACTGGTTTTTGCTTCCTCCGCATTCTTTGGTGATTGGACAGGTAATAGTCGCATTATGGATACCAGAGGAGCATAATCGAGGACTTCGGAGCACATTGGACCGGAACAGAACGATAAAGACCCTTCCAGCTCGAGTTGCACTTTTACATGGCCATGTCGAGTTCAAACACGGCCGTGCAAAAGCAAGGGAACGAAAAAATTCTTACAGACATTCTGCACGGACCGTGTCGACGTCGAACACGGCCGTTCGACCCGCAACTCGCCCGCGTCCAGCCCGTGCAGAAGCGCAGAAGTTTGGTCAGATAATTGACACGGACCGTGTTGACATTCAACACGGCCATGTTACGTTTCGAGAAAACTTCCTATTTTTGCATCCGAACTTCCGTTTTCGGAATGGAAAGAAGCCTAGCAGCCAAAGAAATAAATAGAGGAGGTCATGGGCTTCAGAAATCATCGAGAGATCACAGTAGAAGCCAGAGAACTCGAGAGAGAATCAAGACGGAGTTTCCCGGGAGCAGAGATTAAAGAATCATTGTCGAGAGATCGCTGCGAGTCTTCTTATCTGTTTCTATGTTTCTTCTTATTGATTTGAACTCATTTGTTGTTATGGGTAGTGAGTAGTCGTTTCACTGTAGCTAGGGATTTAACCTTGTAGGGATTTGTTTGGTTTTTATTTTCCGAGACTACGTTATCGATACTTAGCGGTTTAATTGAATTGAGTTTATTGCTTTTGATCTTCTTGGCAAGTTGATTGATTGATTTTAGATTCTGATTTGCAACGAGAGTTGAGATTAGATTCGGAACGAATTCATTGAATGAATTGATTAAGACTATTAAGAGATAGGTTAATCGGTTTAGGAACTGTGATAGTGATCGTTAATGCATTTGATATTTTAATCTATTAGGTAGAGATCGATAGGTTAAATTATTGGATAGTGGATTTAGGACTTGAGAGAGCCAAATCTGATATTAGAACTTGAGATCCCCGATTAGAGTTCGATATTCGTAGATTCTCTATCCTTAGAAACAATCCCTGCGCGTTAAGGTTATCCCGAAGTTACAGTGGTTTAGTTATCTGATTTACTTAGTTTGTTTATTACTTTATTTTCGATAATCATTTGTTTCATCTGCTATTCGCTGATCCGAATCTTAGTCGAGTCTTTTTCTTAGTGTTAACTATTCCTTGTGTTCGACCCTGGTACTACAGTTGATCCGTATCCTTGCGGTATTCGCTGTATCTAGGTCTTTATTACTTGAGCTCATTTATACACCTAGATTTGCGTGATCACGTTTTTGGCGCCGTTGTCGGGGAATAGTTTAGCACTAGGATAGAGATTCCTTTGAATCGAGATCCTTTCTCGATTACTTTTATCCCGTTCCTGATCTATTCTAGTTCTTTGTCCTATTTTTCTGGTGTGTAGGTTTTTTCGGTGTATAACCAGGAGTTCTGGGCCTGATAACCTAGTCCCCTTTGATCCAGAAATCGAGAAATCCGCCAAACGCATTCGGAAGAAGAAGAAACAACAGAAGAAGATGGAGGAACGTGCTTTAGCTGTCGAGAATGACAATGACATTTATGGGGCATATCTTCAGCCCAAGTACACTCAATAGCTCTCATGCATTCGCCGGCCCGATATCGATCGCAATAAATTTGAATTCCAGCCGACATTCATCAGTATGCTCAGTTCATCGGCATTTAGGGGCAGACCTAATGAAGATCCAATTCCCCATCTGACTCGATTCAAACTGCTATGCCAGTCTGTGAAGACGGTTCAAGGAGTCACCGATGAGTCACTTATGCTAATGGCTTTTCCATTCTCTCTAATGGACGATGCATTAGAATGGCTCTACACACTGCCACCAGTGTAATACCCCGAATCCCGATTTAATATTTAATTATTTAAAAATAAATAATTAAATAGAGATGTCATGAAATCACCAAAAATAAAGAGTACAATGCCGAGGAGAGGCACGAGGATCGACACACGCGGGAAGAATCGGGAAGGAACGAAGAAAGAAAAAAAAAAGGGAAAGGCGGACTGGGAGAAGAAAATCGGAAAAAAAAAAATAAACTGAGCCCGGTCCGCCGGACCAACTCCTGGTCGGCCGGACCGGGACTCGACAGAATCTCCAGCTCGCCATCTTGCAGTCTTGGGGCGCGAGTTTCGCCTGAGTCCGCGAGTTGACTGTCGTCCTGCCGCCTCCCACGCCTTGATAAGGTTGCAGGCTCGCCCTTGGACCTGAGAGGAGACCAATTCGCCCCCTACACCAGAAGAAAACGAGCTCTCAACCCTCTCTCAAATCCATTTCGGGAGCAAGGTGAGGGAGAAGAAAAAACGAGAGAAAGGGGGAGAAAGGAGACGAATCGAGGCAAGGGGAGCTCGGTGAGACCAAGAGGGACGTGCCCAGACGTGTCCCGGAGCTTCTCACGCCGTGTGGAGCCGCGAGGAACTCTCCCGAGCTCGGACCAACTCAAGAACAAGGTGAGTGGCTTGAGTTGGATTTGTGCAATCTCGTTTTCAATGTTTAATGGTGCATTCGAGATTTTCTTTGCGTGTTGAGGCTTAGAACATGTCTAGGGATGTAAATGCATGTTTAATTGGTATTTAGAAGCCACCCCGAATTGATTCGGGTGAGAAAAATCGGACTGAAATCGGAGAAAAACGCGAGGAAGAAGAAGGCTCCAGTCCCGGTCCGCCGGACCAGGCGTGGTCAGCTCCGGACCAGGACTGGAAAACACGTGCAGTCCGCCGAGCCACGGGAAGAGAAGGCGGACCGAGGAAAATACACGCCTGGTCCGCCGGACCATACCCTGGTCCGGCTGACCAGACGTGTTCCGCGGTCACGCGGTCCGCCGAACCAAGAGAAGGAAGTCGGACCAAGAGAAAAACACGGCCTGGTCCGCCGGACCAGTCCTGGTCCGCCGGACCAGACGTGTTCGAAAAATCCGCGCACCGACGGACCGAGAAGAACGAATTGCCTGTTATACTGGTCCGGTGTTGCCCAGTCCTGGTCGGTCGGTCCAGACGTACTGTGACGAATCTCGCACCGCCGGACCAAGAACGGGACCGAGAGAGGGGAAGAACAGTCTGGTCCGGGGCTGACCAATCCTGGTCCGCCGGACCAGACGTGTTTCTCTCTCGGACTGCCGGACCAAAAATGACGGAGCGGACCAGGGAAGAAGGAGACCTGGTCCGGCTGACCAGACGACGGTCCGCCAGACCAGACTCAGAGACTTAGAAAAAAATTGGACTTCGGCCGGGAAGGGAAAACGACCCTCGGGGTTGACCCGGGCCCGACCGGACGTGACTATGGGCGATCCGAACCATCGACAGAGAGCAGGCTTCGCGATTGGGATCAATCGGAACGAGTTTTACTAAAACGTTGCGTAACGTGGTGAGATGTGTGATATCAATTTACGAGGGATCGTTGTGTGATTGCTTGCGGGTAGAGTTGTATGGCGTTGAACGGTATTCCGGTAGGGACCAGATACCGTGATACGCGTGGTTGTATCATGGGGATATTGCACGTCGTGTGCCATGTGTGTAGCTTGCTCGTGCGTACGAGTTAAGCGTGATTGTGTTTGTAGATGGTTGTGGACTCAACCATCGCCGTCATGGACTTGACGGGCGTCTGTGACGCGTTTTTGTCGTGTGTGACACGACGGCCAACGTCATGGACTTGACGGGCGTGGATTCGCCCCTAGTCATGGACTTGACTAGGGTTTATGGCTGGACCCTATGGTGGACTCCATAGGGATATTGTGGACGGTTGTGGACTCAACCGTCGACGTTTTTGTCGTGTGTGACACGACGGCCAACGTCATGGACTTGACGGGCGTGGACTCGCCCCTAGTCATGGATTTGACTAGGGTTTATGGCTGGACCCTGTGGTGGACTCCACAGAGATGTGTTGTATTTCCGTTGTGTCGTGGACTCGACATCGGTAGTCACGTGAGTGACGGGCGCAGGAGACGCGCAAGATCGCATGTGATGCGATGGCCAACGTCACGCGAGTGACGGGCGTGGATTCGCCCCTGGTCATGGATTTGACCAGGGTATATGGCTAAGCCTTATGGTGGACTCCATACGGGCGTGTTTGTGTTTGCCATTGATGTGATTTTTGTGTGGATATATTCGTTGCATGTGTTTTACTGAAAATGTCGATTGTACCGTTCTCATTGAGAACGGGATTTCCGGGTTCAACCCGGGCTACTCACTAAGCAGTTGTGCTTAGCCCTCGTGGTTTCATATTTTTCCAGATCACGAGGATTACGCCTAGCTCATCGGACGACGACGACTGGAGAGCAGCAGCATCATGTACGGGATTTGTTTCCTAACTCCAAGGATATGTATTTTTCGACATTTTGTACGGTTTAATTATGACTATTTGGACATGTGTTGTTTTGCGATACTAATCGCTTGTTGTACTTTCCGCTGCTACTTTGATTTAAGTTAAAAATGTTTTTGTTTTCCGCGTTTTTCGCTTCCGCAAATTTGTTAACTATTATTTTATTACATATTGTCCATGTGGCACAACCCGTATACTGTACACGGGTTACGGGTGTCACAACCAGATTCCATTTTCTCTTGGGATTAGATGCAAGAGAAGTTCATGCAGCGATTTTTTCCTGCTAGCAAAACCCAGCTTGCAAAGCAACAGATCAACTCTTTTATGTAGGAACCTTATGAATCGTTGCGCGAGATTTGGGATCGTTTTCTTGGATACCGGCGCCTCTGCCCTCATCACGGATTGGACAAGAGGTACCTTATCTCCACTTTCTCGCAGGTCTAAAGGAAGACACTCGAGTCCTCATTCGAGTTGTCTGTGGAGGAAGCCTCAATGAGAAGTCTTTTGACTTCATCGAACAACAAATCACTAAGATGGCTAACGAGTGTGCCCCTTCCCACGAATTCGTCAGAAATATTGGTTTTAAGGACAACCGTGCAGGTAAGGAAAGTCCATCTGAAATACATGCTTTACGTGCAGAGCTGGCCAAACTTAGAATGCAGGTAGAAAATGTTGGGTTTCCTGGGATCTCATGAGCGAATCTAATTCCTAAGAGATCGATTCTAGAGTTTGCGCAGCGGAAGTACAACAAAAATTTTATAGAACCCTAGAACCATGCTGCTATTGAATCGTAGAAACGTTAGAACTCTTACCTCAATCGATCCGGGGCCTGTATCAATCGAAGAACACGTCTGATCACGAAAGGCAGGAAGAATACCTCGCCCTCTACACGTATCCACACCACGGGATGGATTCCAACGATTGGAACTTGTCTGCTAGGACCCGAATCTACTATTCGATTTATGCTTCGAGAAAAACGGACTTCGATCACACTCTCAACCTCTTGGATCTCACCAAAAGTCTGCTAGAAGTGTTCTAAAATCGACCCCATTTAATTAGGGTTTAATCTCCTTCTTATAAAGTGATTTAACCCTAATTTCGGTTTAATTTCGGAAAAACCTGAAGCTCGGAACGGACGGTCCAGAAATACACGCGGACCGTCGGTTCCAGTACGTAGAACGGACGGTCTGCCCTTAGTGGACCGTCCGTTCTAGAGCTTCTGGAACGGACAGTTCATTCTAGACCGTCGTAACCGCTTAAGTCCTTGTGTTCGACCCCGGTACTACGACATCCGTATACTTGCGGATTAGTTGTGTGTCGGGTATAAATTTAAAGCTCGTCACACGAGGGGCCCAGCGATATCTCTCTCTTTTATGAGAGGTACAAATCCCGTCTTGACTATCTACAATCCAGCACATGATTCGTTTCGTACCTGATACACGCCTTTATAGTCCTCCTGTTACGCAGGACGTTTGACGTATTCAAGGCACGCAACTCCTCATGTTGGATTCCGTAGATATCTCATTCCTTAGGATCCAATCATGGAACCGCCATATGAGATTCAAGTCATGACGCTAGTCCATGTGACAATCTCATGCGGGCCAATCCAGTATTTCGTTCTCCAACGAATACCTATAACTGTGATTGTATCCAATACCTATGATCAACGCTGTGATCATCAATCACACATCATACTAGTCTTATTATGTCGTTATTCCCATAACGACACAAGACTAGGGAGTTTAGTATCATTCATAATGATACATGGATTTCATAACAGATCTGGTATGCAAGAACATGTAATGAATCAAATACTCTCATAAAAACCATAGAAAGTATCAATAAATCAAATGTATCTGAACAAAGCTCATAAACAGTACATCACAGAGCACTAAACCAACAGAAAACGCCCATCAAATCACTGATCTGGACGCATCACGAGACGAGTACGTGCATGAAGATGTCAGTTACGTCGCCAACAATCCGTATTCGAACACATACAATCCGGGTTGGAGGAATCATCCAAATTTCTAATACAAGAACTCCTCTAACGCTCTAAATGCACAGTACAACAATTTCAGTGGTTCATCTATCCCAGACTCCTCTCAAGGAAATCAATCTCAACCCCGAAATACCTACCAACATCAGAACCCAGCCCCTCAACACTACCGAGCTTCCCATCAGCCTCAGCAAAACTTTGGTCTGCCTCCATCTCAATCACAGGTAAGTCCTGACTCTGACATCAAATCTATGCTTGCACAACTTATGCAGGGTCAAGAAGCCATTCACACCGAGATGCGAGAACATCAGCAGAAGACCGACGCCCATCTCAAACTAGTTGATAACCAGATAGCGTAACTTGCTGCCTCTGTCCCTTCGCGACATCAGGGATCACTTCCCGGGAACCCGGAAGCAAACCCCCGAGAGCACTATAACATTGTATCCTTGCGCAGTGGCAAAGAGCTCGCTAACCCTATCATCACATCTACGGAAAAAGGTCAGTGCTCTAGCTCTGTCCCTACATCTTTTCGTGACCCCATAGTTGTTGAAAAATCGACAAAGATCTCGGGTGATGAAGAATGCGACGTATACATTCCACTGCCACCACGTTCGCCTCCGGTTCCTTTCCCTCAACGACTCAAGAAAACTAAAGAAGACACCCAATTCGCTCGATTTGCTGACATGGTGCGTAAGTTGGAAATCACCATGTTGTTTCACGAGGTTATCACTCAGATGCCATCCTATGCCAAATTCCTGAAGGACATTCTCACAAAGAAGCGCGTCATTGAGAAAGAAACCATCACGCTTAATCCCGAGTGCAGCGCCATTCTTCAGCACGATCTGCCACATGTCAGATCCAGGTAGCTTCTCAATTCCCTGTAAATTGGGTAATGTTTCTATAGATCGTGCTCTTTGTGATTTAGGTGCCAGTGTAATCTCCTACCACTCTCCATCTACAAGAAACTCAACGTGGGAGAACTCAAATCGACTCGCATGGCTCTTCAACTAGCTGATCGTTCTGTCAAATATCCTTTGGGTGTTCTCGAGGACGTCCCGTTGAAAGTCGGCGATTACTACGCACCGGTCGATTTCGTTGTGCTTGACATGGACGAAGACTCCAAAATCCCAATTATTCTAGGGTGGCCGTTCTTAAACACTGCAGATGTCATTGTCCACGTTCGTGTCGGCCGACTGACACTCAAGATCAGCGACGAAACGGTGGAATTCACGCTCGACAAGAATTTCAAGCAATCATCTACAGTGGACACTATATGTTATATCGACTTGATGGATGCTTTAATCGATGAGGTACTCTTTGAATTTCGTGATTTCGATGCCCTATCTATTGCTCTTTTTGCTGAACAGGGTTGCAGTACCTTTACGGAGCCTCAAATTCACGCGTACACGTCATTCGTAGATGGTTTAGACGGAATGCCATGCAACACGACCGTGTCGGATACAGACACGGACCGTGTTGATATTTTACCGAAAAACATCGAACGTGACACGCCTGTGTTTGCCACAAGTTCAGACCATGTTTCATGCAACACGGCTGTGTCGTCATTCGACACGTGCTACCGGACTATTCATCTTTCAATTTTGGCCGAAATTCAGCACAGTCCGTGTTGCGTGTAACTCGGCCGTGTTCACTATTTTTCGATTTTCACATAAATTCTGCACGGTTCGTGTTGTTTTGAATACGGCCGTGCTTGTTTTGGCGAAATTTCTACAGACATTCTGCACGGTCCGTGTTGAATTAAACACGGTCGTGTTCGTTTTCACGATTTTTTGATAGAAAATTAACACGGCCCGTGTTCTACTTCAACACGGCCATGTTTATTCCCATTATTTCGACACCACGACACGGACCGTGTTCTTCTTCAACACGGTCGTGTTCAACTCATTCGACTCCCCGACACGAACCGTGTTCGATCTACACAGACCGTGTCGTCATCCCTATTTCGCCTTTTTAATCTATTTTCGCAGGACTCGGCCGTGTCATCTCCTTTTCGCCTCCCCTTCGCCGCCGCCGCCGTATTCCGCCGCTGTACAACCACCACCTGTGTCGCCTCTCCCCGCCGCAGCCATCTTTCATTCCGCCGCAGCTTACAACCCCCACGACCGGATCCCTTTCGGTCCCCCTCCGCCTCGCCACTTCGCCTCGCAAACTCCTCGCTTCACTGCCGCCCCTTCGCCTCGATGTTGCCTCCTCACTCCGGCGACGTCTTTGGTTGTACCCGGTAATCCTCCATCTCATCCTCGATAACTGCGAGTATGGCTGAGCGAGGCCGGATCGAAGGCCGCCCTGAAAGAGGTCTGAAGCGTCGGTACAGCCGCACACTCCGGGACAATGAACCTTGGGCCCCTCGCCGAGGTGCCATCATGGAGCTTACCGACCTCATGCCAATCCGACCTGAACCGGACGTTCTTCGGATCCATCACTGGGACAACACCACCAAGACCGTCTACCTCAAACTCGAACAACAAGGCTTACAACCGACCAAGTTTTTCGGTGAAATCGGAATCCATGACGAGTTGGTTCGTATCTGTGACAGGCTCAGGTGGTCGAATTTTCTGACGGTACATGAGAAGAGTTTCAAGACCTTGACTCTGGAGTTCCTCTTTCCATTGCTACTTTCCGAGCGATGGCAGCACAACGAATGCTTTCATGGATTTTCGGATGAGGAATAACGAGTATCGCCTCTCAATGCGTCAGTTCGCCGATATCCTCGGGATCGAGCCAGGTACATCTTCGAAGCTCTCTCTTTTTCTACCTCAGTGTCAGGAAGCATTTTGGCAGGCTATCGCTGCTCGATCGTACGAGAGTCGAAACGCAAAGGCGAATTGGATCCGCCACCCGATGGCTCGGTATTTTCACCAATTCCTTACCAGCTGCCTCCTCGCCCGAGCTGCCGGCGGTACGGTGAACCATCAGAACTGGGTTTTCTTCGATGGGCTTTGAGCGACGCCTTCGACGGCGACACTAGGGGAATGGAGGAAGTATGTCTTGCTTCCCGTATGGCGATGCATCTCGAGACATTTGCTCAACCAGGGAATCCGACAGAC